AGGTAAAAAAAAGCAAAATCACAAGTGAAATAATCCATCATGAAAATCATTTCACTACCTTTCAGTATTTTGTATTAAAATCACCTTGCATCATCTAAGATTGCTTTCAGAAGCCATGCTGGTACTGTGTCACCCAAAGCACTTCCGCAGTTTCCTAGCCAATAAAGGGCTCCCCTCAAAGTTGTTCCTTTTCCAAACAAGGGCCATGGAATATATTCATGGGCATATGTAAAAGGTATGTCTTAGTTAAAATTCTAATAAATGTCTATAACACATGTCTTTTAAAAAGTTTAAGTTAACTTCCTTAATCTGTAAGCCCAAATTCTGTCTTTTCCCGATACTTGCAGATACCAGGAAGCAAATCTAGCCTCAGAATATGAAAAAGCAATCTTCAAGGGAAATGTTTCCCTTTTTCAAATGTTTCAGGTTTTCAATTTGATGGATTAGGATATATCTTTGAAACAGTATCTTTTCCTATTTCTATATTTTTAAAAATTTCTGTACATTATTTTCATACATGTGTTTCAACTATTTCTAGAAAAATGACTCCATTTTATGTTAGAAATAATTTCCCTCAGGCTGAGGCTCTAGCTAAGTGGTAGAGTGTTTGCCTCACATGTGAGGCACCACATCAAAATAAGTACATAAAAAGACACTGTATCCATTTACAACTAAGAAAACTTTTTTAAAAATTCCCTTAATAAAATAGAAATAATTTTAAGAAACTAGCTTCAAATATAAAAGCATTTTGAATACTTATGCAAACATAAATTAATCAGTGATTAATCCCAGTCTGGTGGCTTACTTTCTTTCAACAAGCATTCCTCTCCTCATCACTGAATAAAAGGAAATTATAATCCATAACAAAATGAAACAAAACATACAAGACAGCAGAACCTCAGCCAAGATGATTAAGGATTGTTATGCAAACACACACACACACACACACACACACACGCATATATACACACACACACACACACACACACTTTTTGGGGGGAAATTCTCTACATTTATTTATTCTATCAATAAAAAGTTCATTAAGTGCCTTTATTACTTTGTTAGGGTTGTATAACAAATGACCACAGACTGGGTAGCTTAAACAGTAGAATTGCATTTTATCCTGGTTCTGGTGCCTGATTAAGGTGTGAAACCTCTCTCTCTGGCTTGTAGATGGTCATCTTCCTTTGTACATGTCTGTACACATACTTTTTAAAATATTTGTTTTAGTTGTAGGTGGACACAATAACCTTTATTTTATTTTTATGTGGTGCTGAGAATCGAACCCAGTGCCTCACACATGCTAGGCAAGTGCTCTACTGCTGAGCCACAACTGCAGCCCATGTACACATACATTTTTAAAAGCCACTTTCTGTATTAGTTTTATAAGGATGTATTGGTAATTTCAAAGTATTAAATAGGGTTTCTTCCTAGCTGTGTACACTAAAGATGCATTGTATAAATGAATGTTAATACTTGTGATACTATTCATAAAATTTGCTTACAAAGTAGCACTTAAAATAGATGTGGTACACTATGCTTACATTCCATGTGCTTTTTATATAGGCCCCAAATAAAGCTTAATTCCATCCATGCAAAGCTAACTGCAAATAAAAGGTATGACTAATTTTAAAAGAGCACACAGCTATTTGCCAAGAGATGTGCAGTAAAATGTTACTAAATCTTTGGTGAAATACTATATTTATATACTCAACAGTATACATCAGGAACAATTCCAGTCACAGTAACTTTTCACAGAAAAGAACTTGTAAGTGGATATACTAGGAATAGTGGCATGCCTGTTAGGGAAAAATCTCCCAACCAAATGCACAACTCATGCCTGTTACAATACCAATAGGCATGGATCCTCTAGTAGAAAATAAAATTCATTTTACAGTATTTAGAGTTGGCTATAACCAAAACCTGAGAAGAAACAGTTACAATGGTTCTCCAACCTTAAAGAAATTGAAAAAAAAAAAAACAACAACACAGGCATTATTCTGCAAAGAATAAGCTACCAATAAAACGTTACCTAACATTACTTTGCTCAAAGGACTTTAGTCTCCTAATGAAGAATGAAGCTTTTAAAGTAGGAACTAAGATGGCTGCTGACAATCAAAGAAAGGGCTGTTTGATAAACAGTGAGACAGAAAACAGACATTGATGACTCCTGTTAGCAAGTAAAATTCTAGACAAAATCTTAAGAATAAAAATCACCAGATGTTCGAAAATGTCCAACCTTTCAAGCAGACTAGATCCTAAAAACAAAAGAAATAGTTACCACAGAATGGTGGGGGAGGGGCAGTTAGAAGTGAATGATCAAAAAGAGACTCAGAAGAGGAAAATATTAACAAAATATGACTTATGTTTTTTTTGGTAATTGTAGTATGAAAACTAAAATGAACAGAAAATCATGATATCATTAACCTTTTTCTAGAACATGTAGTTATCACATAAGAATAAAGTAGAAGCCCTTAAAAACTGTGGAAAAGCAAAAAGACTAAGATAATCAGTGGTTAACAACTAAACACATATACAAAGTAGCTTCCCATATTTGATCTAATGAGGAAAAAATGTTGTTTTGCTTTTGAAAAAAATAAATATAGTATATAAGGTAGCAGGATAAAAAGAGACAACAGATGAAATTTCCAGAGAACTAAAATCCAACTTTTCCTTTCTGTTTCATCCAGAGCTTCTTTAAAACCACAGTTAAGAAACATAATCACTAAAAAATTTTAAGTATTGAAAACTATGCAGCAGCTGGAGTAATTCATGGGATAAAATAAATGAAAAAAGAATATAAAGGAATATGTGTAGTGAATGTTAAGTGAAAAGATGTAGTAATGAAAGTTTAAAGAGTGGGATAATTTTGTGTAACAATGAGGGTCTCCTTCCATTTCCATACAGTTTCCCTTCTCTCTCCCTTTCTCCCACCCCACTCATCTCTGTTTAATGTTAGTCTTTTCCTCATGCTCTTCTTCCGTGTTCTGATCTTAGTTGCTCTCTTTATATCAAAGAAGACATTTGGCATTTGTTTTTTAAGGATTGGCTAGCTTCACTTAGCATTATCTGCTCTAATGTCATCCATTTCCCTGCAAAATCCATGATTTTGTCATTTTTT